TGGAACTTCTGGGACAAAGCCATTTGTTCTAAATGCTGGTGTTGCTACAGTTCAATCTAATGATCAAGAAGAGACTCAAGTTGTCAAGTCAATCACAGAGGATGAAGACAAGGCAATTAAAGCGAAGGTGCAGTTGATGAAGGAAACACTAAAATCGATGCAAGGTGTCCAAACCAATAAACCGGTTGACATCTCATCTTTGTGCTTTTTCCCAAACATTCAACTACCCCATAAGTTTAAATTGCCTGAGTTTGATAAGTACAATGGCACTGGTTGTCCTTATGCCCACTTGACGATGTATTGTAGGAAGATGGCTCCTTATGCCAATGACGAGAAGCTAATGATACATTACTTTCATGACAGTCTGACAGGTCTTGCAGATGCTTGGTTCTCAACTTTAGACAAGAGTAAAGTTAAGAGTTGGCATGATTTGACTCACAACTTTATGAAGCAATATGAATACAATACATCATTAGCTCCTAGTAGAGAGGATTTTCAAAGGACAGAAAAGAAACCAAGTGAGAGCTTTAAGGAATTTACACAGAGATGGCGTGGATTGGTTGCTCGAGTTCAACCTCCACTAACTGACCATGAATTGAGTAATTTATTCATCAAGTCAACGAAAGGGCCTTATTGTGAGAAGTTAATAACTTGTGTGAATTACACTTTTGCTCAGTTGGTTGTTGTGGGAGAACAAGTGGAGGATGGTTGTTGTGGGAGAACAAGTGGAAGATGGAATCAAGTCTGGGATTATCATGGATTATCAAGCAATGAAGAGTCTCCTTGAACAATACCAAAATGATAGTTCAGGGGTTTCTAGTTCAAAGAAAGTGGGCCAGAATCAAAAGAAGGAGAATGAGAATAGCACTATAAGTTCAGTTTATGAGGCACATAATCAGTCACGAGGGCAGTTCAACAATCGGTTCCAAGCTCCAACTTATCAATCAACGGCTTTCATAAGTCAATCAAAACCTGTTTATGCCTCTGGGACAAGTCGTCCACAACAAGAGAAAAAGAGACGTTATTTTGATAAACTTCCAACGTCATATACTGAAGTGTTTCGACAGTTGATAGCAGCTAGGCTTGTTACCCCCGTACCTATGGTGCCATTAAATCCACCATTTCCAATATGGTATAACCCACAAGCAAGATGTGAATACCATAGTGGAGGTGTTGGGCATGACCTTGAAAATTGTCTTGCTTTAAAGCACCGTGTCCAAGATCTAATAGATGCAAAGGAGTTACAAATTACATCAGAACCTGAGGTTGTTGGTCCAAATGTCACTAAAAACCCTTTACCCACACATGATGGTCCAACAGTTAATATGATCGAGAAAGACTCCGATAAAGGTCATGAGGTGACTACATCAACAAATAATGATGGTTTGAGCACTTCTTTTGAGAAGTTGAGCATATGTGTCATTGATGAAGCAAAGGGTGATGACAAGCTTATTTTGCCTACTCATGGTGAAGCTTTAGACAACAAGATAGTGGAGATTCTTCCTGTTCCTATCATTAAATCGTAAGATGTGTCAATCTTCTTGTGGTTGAGCTTGTGACCATGAGAAGAGATGGTTAAAACAAGCCTTTTATATTTTATGAAGCATTGTAGGCATGACAAATAATGTTCCATTTAGTCCATTTCAATCAATGATGTTACTTTCATTTTCATTCCCTCTCTTCATATGTAAGATTGTTCATTTATTCAAATTTCTCATGCTAGCCAAAATTTCCATCTCCAAGTTTGCTGATAATAAATCCACAAATAGTGATATCATTCTTGAACTTACACATAGTTTTGATGAACTGATTTATTCTATGGAAGATGATGAAGAATTAGAACCCTTTCTTGAATTGACTGACATGTTGAAAGAAGAAGAACCTAAATTGCAGCCTTATCAGAATGGCTACAACATAAAATAGGGAGGTCAGGCCTCGAAGGTTTCAAGAAAGAGATGTTGTTTTGAAGGAAAAGATGAAGGTTTGAAGGAAAAGATGTTTTGAAGAAAATTCTACCTAATGAGAAGGATCCAAGGGGAAATTTTGCTCCAAATTACAACGGTCTTTACATCGTGAAGGCAACTTTTTCAGGAGCAGCTTTATTATTAGTTTATCTTGATGGAGATGATTTCCCACATCCGGTAAATGCAGATGTGGCCAAGAAATATTATGTGTTAAAAAAAAAAAAAAAAGAAGGGGAGAGAGGAAAAAAGGCTAGGCTGAAGACCTAATGGGGTAGTCTAGGCAAAATAAAGAAAAAGTGTTCATGAGGAGGAAGTAAAGAATCCAATGACGAAAGGCTATTCTTCTTTATCCTTTGATATGGAAATTTTCCTTAGAAACCCTTTTTGAGCCAAAAGAAAAGGCAATCGTCTAACTTATAAAAGCCTGACGATTTTTCTAAATTGTCCTACATTAAGAGCCTAGGGTGAGAAGAGTGTTAGTAAGGGGATTCAATGGGAAAAGGGAATTTTGAGCCATTTTATCCTTTCTTTCTAATTAGCCGAGCCCTAAACCACGATACAAGCCAATGTAAA